TTGGGAAGAGATGCCAAACTGCCAGAGGTACCAGTGAAAGTTGTCCTCTATCCTGCTCGCAACTGTAAAGACACCAACAAGAGCGACGGTGAATCCATCCAGCATGCCATCAACGAGCTCTCCTCCTTGCCACTCGATCCCTCCACAGGTTTCCGGGGAGCAATCCAGCTCTCAAGTGGAGATTTCGACGTTCGAGGCCACCACTTCACCATCAACACCAGTGGAATTCTCATCACCGGGAGCAGCAGTAGCGAAACCATCCTCCACGCAAATGTTTCCATAGCCGAGGATGGCATGGACGTCCACGCTTTGTTCTCAGTCGAGAGTCCACAGCAAACCATCGCAGAGGTTGGTCACAGAGCTGCTATTGTCGAGACTGTTCCCTCCGGTTCTAACTATGTGAAGCTCGACTCGTCTTGTGGATTCAAACCCGGCGATCTCGTCTCGATCGTCTGGCCGATGACTTCCAGGTGGATCCAGATGATGAATATGAGCGAGAGATGGGGAAACTTTGCGGTTACTTCCATCGAGCGCAGAGTTTCCAGAGTTAACGGCGAAAAGAACATGGTGTTTCTCGACATCCCGGTTCCATTTCGTGTTGATCTCAGGTACCTGAGCTCGTCACAGCCGGCTTATTTGGTCAAGGTGGAGATCTCTGGACGAGTATCCCACGTCGGTCTCGAGAACTTCAAGGCTGTCCAGGACAAAGTTCTCCCTGTCGGCCGTGGCACCTTTCTCAACATCGGTCAGGTGGAGGACTCTTGGGTGAGAAATGTCGTGGCTGTCGACTTTGGAGGCGATACCATGACTGTCACTGGAAAGAGGATCACAGTCGAGGGCTTGAATCTCATCCGGACTATTCCGGGCCCGATGAAAGGTCCAAAATTTGCTGATCTCGCCATTGCCTTTCCAGGCTCCCAGATCCTCGTCAAGAACAGCGTCATCCAAGGAGGAAGCTCCCAGTTCAGCTACATGACCCGGGACCAAGCAAATGGTCCAAATGTTTTCTTTAACAGCACCGCATATGGGAGCTCACACGCGGAGCCTCACGCTCATTTTGCAACTGGGATCCTGTATGACAGCATGAAGTTTGAAAATGGGACAATCAGCCTGCGCAATAGGCCATACAAACATCATGGCTATACTTCTGGATTTAGTGTTGTGTGGAACTGTCACACCAAGGTGTTGGAAGTTGTGAAACCTCCACAAGCAGCAAACTGGGCCATTGGAAACACGATACAATCGCTGGGAAGCACTGGGAATGAGACTCTAGGATTCATTGAGCCAAGAGGAATCGAGTCTCCTCGCTTGGCAAGCTTGTATCTGGCTCAAAAAGCGGCAGCAAAAATGCATTAAAAACTGCCAATGCAAGTCAATTTTTAATGGAATCGTCAATAATGGTCATTTAGTTGACTTTAGTTGACGTTTCATTTCAATGCAAGTCCTTTGTAGTGGAATGAACGATTTTAGCAGAAGTGCTTGCTTGGAGCTCATAGAATCATGCTCTAGCCTTAGAGCAGCTAAGAAGATCTACACCAGTCTCCAATCTTGTCTTGGACGTGACGATGCATTTGTGCATGACAGGCTCATCGACATGTTTGGAAGATGTGGCAGCGTCGGTGACGCTAGATCAGTCTATGAATCCATGGCAGTGATAAGTGATCACACCTCTTACCAGATGCTCATCGTCTACACCAGAAACGACCAAATTGAGGATGCCAAGGGCTTCTTTGATTCGCTGCCGGTTAAAACTCTGATGGTCGTGACAACTTTGCTCGTTGCATATGCCCATTCTGGGTATCTTGATGATGCAAAGAGGTTGTTTGATGAGGCTCCTCTCAGGGATTTGATCCTCTGGAACTCAATGCTCGCAGCCTTTGGCCAGAATGTGGATCAATTAGATGGTCTGTTTATTGAGATGCCCGAGCGCGACATTATCTCGTGGACGTCTTTGTTAGGAGCCTATGCCCGAAACGGGCATAGGGACAAAGCATGGAAGGCTTTTTGTGATATGCCTCAGAGAAACATAGTTTCTTACAATTCTATGTTAGATTGTTTTGCTTCGTCATTTCTACAATATAATTTAGAAACAATGCTGTACGAAATGCCCGAAAGAGATATAACTTCGTGGAACACCGTTATTGCAGCATTTGCCCAAGATGGGCATATTAATAAAGCTGAGACTATCTTCTTTAGCATGCCCGAGCGCGACCTTGTCACCATGAACTCAATGCTGAATGCCTATGTTTTACATCACAATGTCTCCAAATCCAAAAGAGTTTTCGAAATTATGCCGGAAAGAAACGCTCTCTCCTGGAACTCGATGCTCACTGTGTACTCTCAAAACGGATATCTTGAGGAGACCCAGCAAATGTTTCGGGAAATGCCCGTTCGAGACACCATCTCATGGAACTGCTTGCTAGCAGCGTTTGCTCAGGCGAGATGTATCCACAATGCCAAGAAAACCTTGCTTGAAATCCCCTACAAGAATACAGTGTCATGGACGACAATGCTGGTCACTTATGCTCGGCACGGAAAGATCCAACAGGCGAGACAGATCTTTGATGAAAGCCCAGACCCCGACGTTGTTCTTCACAGTGCAATGGTCGCAGCTTACCACCACAATGGCTTCCTTGACGATGCTCTTCACGTCTTCCACTTGCAAAGGCTCACTCAACTTCCAGACCAAGTTTCCTTCGCGTTAGCTCTTCCAGTTTGCAACCACGGAGGAAAACTCTACGATGGAATGTGCCACTTCGTCTCCATGGTCACGGATTTTGGTCTAACTCCCACGAAACAACACTACTGTTGCGTGGTCGACTTGCTTGCCCGCTCTGGTCACTTGGCTTCGGCTGTGGAGCTCGTCGAAACCATGCCCTTTGTAGCGGACGTTCTCGAGTGGACGTGTGTTCTTGGTGCCAGCCGATTCCACGGTGACCAAGACCGTGCCTATCTCGCAGCGCAGCGGTTGATCGAGCTGGATCCACAAAACTCGAGAGCTTACGTGATGGCTAGAAACATCACCTCGTTTCGTGGAGACGATCACGGTTAAGTACCATGATTTCCTCCATCGTCACCTCCGATCACGCTTGCGAGCAGGAGATAACTCGGAGCCTCGTCGCTCCAGTTTGATCCATGTAGCAAGTTCTTTGCAGCAAAAGCTCCGTGACGATGGACTCGGTAACTTCTGCAAGATCCGAGGAAGCTCGTCCATTCCCAGATGTCTGGAACATACGGCATGGTACCGATTAAATCCCTGGCATCATCCAAGTATCCAGCTCGAGCGAGCAAGTCGACCATGCAGCAATAGTGCTGCTTGGTGGCCTCCACGCCATAGTCTTGTCTCATCGACGCAAACCAGTTCCTCCCAAGGATCGGCTTGCCTTTGTGCGTGCAAGCGATGAGAATCGACGTGAGATTCGCTTGCTGGTGTGAGTGTGAGTCGATCAAACTTATCCGGTGGAAGAGCTGGAACGCTTGAGTCGAGTGTCCATTTTGAGCGTAAGCTCCAAGCAGCGCTGCATAGGCAACCGGATCATCGTTATCGGGCATCGCATCGAAGATCTTTGCCGCTGTTTCGAGGTGTCCATTCTCGACGTGAGCAGTGACAATGGAGCAAGACGCAAAGAGGCTTTTCCTCGGCATGGTTTCGTACAACTCCTTTGCCTGGTGAAGATGCCCATTTCGGGCATATGCAGAGATCATCGCGCACAGCGACACTGTGTTCCTCACTGGCATCGCGTAAAAAACTCTTTTCGCGTCTTCCAGATAGCCTTTCTCCCCGAAAGCCGACAACATCAGATTCCAAGAGTACGGATCATGCTGTGGCATTCCATCGAAGATTCTCTTTGTCTCTTCGAGATTTCCCTGTATGGCGTTTGCCGTGGCGAGGACATTCCACGACACGTGGTTGTTGTACGGCATAATACGAAACAGGGAGACCACGTCGTCAAGCCTTCCGTCTTGTGCATGCCCGGACAGTACGGCGTTCCACGACACCATGCTGTGGTACGGCATTTCCCGAAACAGGCCCTTGGCTCGCAAAAGTTGCCCGTTCTGGGCATATGCTGAAAGCAACGCGTTAAACGACACTACGTTCCTTTCGCTCATGCTATCGAGAAAAGCCTCCGCTTCTTGGATTTTTCCAGCGTCGGCATAAAGAGAGACCATGGAATTCCACGACACAAGATTCCTCTCGGGCATCTTTTCAAACATCTCTCGAGCACGAAGAACGTAACCATTCTGAGCATACGCCGCAATCAGGACATTCCAGCTCACAATGTCTCTCTGTGGCATATCATCAAACAACGCTTTCGACTCTTCCATATGCCCATACACGGCATATGCCGAGAGCATCGCATTGAAGCTCTTGCAACTCCTCTCGGGCATTTTGTTAAACATGGCCTGAGCCTTTTCCAACTGCCAGTTCTGTCCGTACGCAGAGAGCATAACGTTCCACGACACCACGTTCCGTACTGGCATATTTCCAAACACAGACGCCGCATCCTCCAAATGCCCGTTCCTGGCAAGTGCTGTGACCAAGGCAGTCCACGTTACCAGATTCTTTTCCGGCATTGCCCGAAAGACGCGCTGGGATTGGTCCAGCTGGTCGTTCTCTGCGTACCCTGCCAGCATGGCATTCCACGTGGCCAGGCTCCAAAACGGCATTGCGGCAAAGATCTCCTCGGCTAGACCAAGATGCCCAGTTTGGGCGTATGCCGCGAGCATCGTGTTCCACGACACCAGATCTTTCTCTGGCATGGAATCCAGCAAGGCCCTGGCATCTTTGAGCTCCCCGGCGCGGCACAAGGCAGCGAGCATTAGGTTCCAGGAGAAGGAATCTTTGTCGCGAATGGCGTGGAAGACGTCGAGAGCATCCTCGAGCCTTCCACACTTTCCATAGGCTTCGATCATCTTGTTCTGGTGGAAAGTCGTGGGGGTGCCATCAGCGAAGCTACGAGGCGGTAGACTAGAGCCAGGCAGAGGTGACGAGCAAGCTATTGCGTAAATCATCCAACTTCAAGAAGAGATCATCGCTCTTTTCCAAGAGAAAAAGCGAAGAACAAAAAGGAACGATGGAGCTGGAAGAATAGCTAGAGAAGAAGAGAGAGAGAGAGAGAGAGAGCGAGAGCGTAACTCTACAGAGCTACTGAGCTATAGTGAAAGGAAAGAGATGGCTTACTTGCTGCTACATCCTCTTCTTCTTTCCCTGGCCGTTGGCATTCCCGTACTGCTGCGAGTGGAAATTCGCGAAGAGCATGAGCAGGATGATGTTGAAACCAAAGTTGAAGGACCAAGCCCCGATCCCAGCACAGCCCTCGCCCCCCAAATGGAGCACCATCATCGCCAGCGACACCACGAAGCTGAAGAGGAACTGATAGATCTGCAAGTTGGTCACCATCTTCTTCCACGGCGGGTGGAGCCCGAGGCTGCACAGCAAGTAGTACGTGTACATGGCGACGTGAACGCCGGTGTTGGTGAGCAGCGCGATCACCTGGAGCGACTGCGTGAACTGGAGCCAAAAGAAGCACATCACGATCACGGTCGAGTGGTGGAAGACGTGGAGGAACGTCAGCGGCTTCTTGCGGAGGATGAGGATAGCGGTGTCGAGCAGCTCGTAGAACTTGCTGAGGTAGTAAACGTAGGACCAGAAGAAGACCCTCCCCACGGATCTCGTCCCCAGCGGGAAGCACAGTAGCCAGTTGAGCCCCTTCTTCTTGTTCCACAGCCACCTGTTCTCCTGGATCTCAATCACCGTAGCTTGGAGGCAGCCGATAAACATGGCCGCAGATCCCACCACGAGAACGATGTTGTGCAGCACTGGCACCGGACCCAATGGAACCGGCCTCTTGCGGAAGCTGAGCAGGAGCCTGAGCAGCAGGACGAGCGAGAGGTAGAGCGGCACGGAGGCGACCAGGAACGTCCACGACGCACCGAAGGTGTTGAAGTCCCATCGGAATCTGGCAACCGGCGGGTGCTCCGCGGCCCAGTAGCGAATGCTCGAGCGGACGCTCCGCCAGGCAGTGCCATTGAAAGCATTGGTAGCACTGGCGGCCATTTACCTCTTCAGCTTTTTTGCTGCTTCCCTTGCCTCTCGCTCTCTTAACCCCTAAATACTTTCTGAAAGCAAAGGAGAAAAAGCAATGTGAGAAGGTCGTCCAAAACTCACAGTTATTCAAAGATTCGACTGGCCCAGTCTCATGTAGTGTGCTCTGCGTAGAACTTGACAATGCTTTGGTCCAAGCGAAAGTAGTGAGGGATCTTGTCCAGCCGCTTCAAATCCAGGTCCAAGAATGATATCTGCGGAGTAAAGCTTGTCAAATGACTCTCATCATGGGGAGTAAAGACTATACCTTGTAGACGTAAGATCTTCCAGTCGTTGGACAAGAGATGATGCTCCTGGTCACGGACGACGCAACGATGGAATCGTCAAGCGGCTTTAAGGTGACCATGAGGCTGCAATCCTTCGCAGTGGCGGCTATAAGAAACTTGCAGAGATTTCGTCTTTGCTCATCAGCTGGCATGGAGTGGGGGCTTGCGAATAAAACGGATCGCTTGTCAACGTCCGAATCGATGGAGCATCCTGTTTTGTCGGATCCACACTCCGGGCAGTGCAACCCCACGAAGCTATAGTACAGGTGTATGACGCCTTCAATGTCCAAACTGTCAAGCTGTTGTGTCTGCAACAGCTTCCTCAGGGTCTCGCTGCTGTGCAAGATCTCCGCTATCAGCTTCTCGAGTACGTCCAACCTTTGGCCCGTCACAGAATCCGTGAAGTCCACCAGAGATCTTTCTAGAAGATCACGGCTCGCACTGCTGTCAGTCGAGTCCTGTGCACCGTCTACACTTCCAGTGAAGATCCTGTTGCCGTCTTTGAAAACCCGTAAGTTGTTCTGAGGACTCTTGAACAAGGCGTTCAAAGCCTTGATTATTCCATCGCGCGTTCCAGAAAAGAGGTCAAGCGGGCAGTAAGAGCTAGAGCTTCGTATCTGTAGACAAAAGAAGAAAGAAGTTCATACTAGCTAGGTGAAAGAATCAATTTTGCATACCTTGCCTTGAACGAACTTGAGAAGCTGGTGCATTGCGAAGCGGGAAACCACCTTCTTCACGTGATTTTCGGTTGAAATGGCATCGGACTGTGGCAAGTATCCCCACTTGGGCTGAAAAAAAAGCCTGGCCATCACTAAAACCACAAGAGAAAGAAGAAACCAGACCTTTATCTCGATAGACAAGGTGGGAGAGTCGGATTCATTCGCTCTCACGCCTGGAAAAGAGATGGTGCACTTAGAACTCTCCAAGTCAAACACCAAGCAACGAAACAAACCTGGAAACAAGGTGTGGTCGCACACGGCAAGAACGTTCTTGCTGGAAAAATCCAGGTCGGCTTCCTCAGCTCTCCATGCTGGTCGATTTGCTCGAATGTGTTGAGAAACGTCCTCCAAAAACTTTCTCGACACTGGGACGATTACCTGGAAGAAAAAAACTTCGCGTAAGACGCATCTCATCTCTCGAGAAGAATGAGAAAGGATAGAAAGAAAAATCTTAGTAGAGAACACACACCCCGGAATCAACGTAGTCCTCACCCAGCAATGGCCGCATCACATCTCTCACGTATACGTGGCGCAATTCCTCTTCGTTGCTCGAGGACGCCACGGCAGGCCAATCTTTCCAGAGATTTCTCTCCAGATCGGAGAGAACAGGAGCGCACCCCCCTCCATTCTCTCGCAGTGGCGCCTTCCGGATCCTCAGCACTGTTCCAAGCTGCATGGAAGAAGCTCGCTTGGCTGCATTCTATCGAAATCCCGAGAAAGAAAGAAATCCAGACTTACGAGCTGTGAATCCGATCCACGATAGTCGAGCACAACATTGGATGCGCCTTCTCCCTTGTAGCGCCAGTCGCCAGCGGCATTTAGAGCGCCATCGCCACAAGCATGCATTCCAATAGGCCTTCGTTTAGGGTTTATACCTGGTGGAAATATTTCTTACCAGTTCTTGCGATTTCCCGCGAGGAGGAGGCATTCCTGCCGATCCAGCCAAAATCTTCGCCATCAATGTGTACGCTGCGCCGTGATTCTCATCCAAGCTCACTAGCGATCGAAATGCGAGCTCTCCAATCTCCACATTCTTCCATTTCTCGCAGGCTCCAAGCAGCGTCGTCCACGACACCACTGTAGCGTCGTAGGGCATGCTCCGGATCATTGCTAGAGCCTCCTCCAAGCGATTCGCGCGTCCGAGAAGATCGATCATGCACTGGTAGTGCTCGATTCGAGGCTGGAATTCCATGCGCGCGAAGATTTTCTTGCCAGTTTCTACCAGGCCAGCACGGCTACACGCAGTGAGGATCGAGAGAAGCGTCACACCCCCCAGCTCGATGCCTTCATCGACCATTCTCTGGAAAGTTTCCAGTGCCCGGGAAGAATCTCCTTGGCCGCCATAGCCAGCAAGCACTGCGTTCCACAACACCGTGCTCTTCGTGGCGATCGAATCAAAGACCTGGCAAGCAGCGCCCATCTTCCCACACTTGGCGTAGAAATCCACGAGCGAGCTCGCCACAAACTCCCGGCTTTCGAGTCCCTGGCGGCAGATCTCCGCGTGGATCGCTACTCCAGATTGGGGAGCCGCCATATTCGAGCACGCCGAGAGAGCCGCGACGTAAGTTCTAGCATCCATCGCCACTGTTTCAGCTCTCATGGACGCAAAGAGCTCGAGAGCTAGCTCGTTCTCGCCGCTGGCCGCGTATCCCAGGATCATCGAGTTCCATGGAATCGGCGAGGAGCTCCTTCTACGATCAAGCACCGCTCGAGCCTCGGCCATGCTGCCACACTTTGCGTAGAAATCCACCAGCGAGTTGGTGACGAAGACGTTGTTATCGAAGAACTTCCTCGTGGCTCTTGAGTGGATCCTCCTCCCTCTCTCGAGAAGCTTTCTCCGGTCGGGCACTCCTTCTAACGATTCCACCATGCTCGAGCACGCCACCATCGCCGCTACGAATGTTCTCTCGTTAACTTGGGACGTTTCTTTGTAGCTCTCGAACATCTCCAACGCCAGCTCCGGTTTTCCATTCTCGGCATAGCCTAGCAGCAGCGCGTTCAAGGCCACCACGCTCACGCTCGCTGGATCGAGATTTGGATTCCCAGCTCCACACTTCTCGTCAAAAACTCTGCGAGCTCGATCCATGCTACCACACTTGGAGTACATATCCACCAGCGTGCATGCAACGTAGACGTCGGAATCACACCCCTGCTCGGCTGCTCGATCGTGAAGATCAGTCCCTCTCTGGAGCCAGAAACTCTTCCTTCTCCGATGATCGTCCCCTTCTTCTCTCGCGGCTAAGCTCGACACTGCCATCATCGCTGCTACGAAGCTCTGTGAATCCGGCCGCTCGTCCATGCTGGCGAAGAACTTGAGAGCTACATCGCTCTCCCCGCTTGCTACATATCCCAGGATCATCGAGTTCCAAGCTGCCACCGTCGGGCTTGGCACCATCTCCCGGAAAACCTCAAGCGCGTCCTCCATGCTTCCACTCCTGGCGTACATCTCCACCAGAGCGCTCGCGACGTAAGCGTCTAAATCGAACTGGGACTTCGCAGCTTCGGCATGGATTGCCAGTCCTTTCTCCAAGCATCTCGCCTTGGAGAAAGCTCGGCCATCTTCTTCTTCTTCCTTGGAAGCAGTGGCCAAGCTCGAGCAAGCCACGAGCACGGCAACGTAAGTTCGATCGTTTGGAGCGCAGCCAGTGGCTTTCATCCGCTGGAACTTCTCCAGAGCCAGCTCGCTCTTGCCGTTGAGAACACACCCGTGGATCAGTGCGTTCCACGGAACCGGGTCGCGAGAAGGTGTGACAGCTGCGAAGGCGTTCTCGGCGTCCTCCAAGCTTCCACACCTCGAGTACATGTCGATGAGAGCGCTGGCCACGAAAACATCACCCCCGCAGCCACTCTCCACCGCTCGATGGTGCAAATCCCTGCCTTTCTCCAAGCACCTCACTTTGAGAAGCCTGCCACCTTGATCTTTCACTGCCAAACTCGAGCAAGCCATCAATCCGGCCACGAACGTCCGAGAGTTTGGAGAACAGCCACTGCACTGCATAAGGTCGATCAACTCGAGAGCGATTTCTTCTTCACAGTTCTCCGCGTAGACCAGGATCAGCGACGTCCACGAAACCACGTCGTGGCAGTCCATGCGGTCGAAAATCTTGCGAGCATCCACCAAGCTCCCGCATTTCCCACACAAATCCAGCATGGAGTTCGCGACAAAGATCTCTGTGTGACAGCCCTTCTTCGCAGCGTCAGAATAAAGAGCCATTCCTCTCGCCAAACTCTCCATCTTCACGAGCTTTCCATCGATGAGCTCTCCCTGTTCTTTGGTTGCCAGGCTAGAACAAGCCGCCAATCCAGCCACGAACGATCGACCATCTGGTTCGCAAGCCAATCCTCTCATCCTGGCAAAGAGTTCCAGCGCCAGAGAGCTCAGATCGTTCCTCACATACCCCAGGATCATCGCGTTCCAGGGAGCAGCATCGCGGCACTGGATGTGACTGTCAAAGGACTTCCGAGCTTCTCCAATCTCTCCACACCTGGAATACATATCGATGATCGCTGTCTGGGCATACTTGTCTATCTTGCCGACCTTGCCCGCGATGATCTTGCCGAGTTCCAGATCTTTCAAGACGCCGCAAGCCCTCAATGCCGCAACAAACTCTGCCGCCGGGCCAGCGCCATCGCTTGGCTCGCCAAAATACCTGGAAATCCAAGCGATCCCGCGCCTGGCCCTGCCGGCATTGCAGTATCTCATTCATTCTCTCAAGAACCCTAGGACAAGAGCTAGGGCTCTTGACTACTACAAATGCTGGCCAAGAACACATAGGCTCTGGGATTTCGTGGATCTAAGCGGAGGATCTGCCGTGCCGCGTCGATCGCCATGCCGAAATCCTTGAATTTAATGCAGGATCCGAGAAGACACAGCCAATCCGAGCTATCGGCGAAGAATGGCATGCTCTCTATCAGATTCTTCGCAAACCCGAGGTATCCTGCGCGACCCAGGAGATCGATCAAGCAGCTATAGTGCTGCTTCGTGGCCGCCATTCCAAAATCCCTGCCCATCGACGCGAATTTCGCCCTCCCATCACTCAGTCCTCCTTGCTGGCTGCAAGCGATCAAGAGCGCCACGAAGCACAGCTCGTCGGGCGATTCGAGCGTGCTCATCTCCGAGAAGAGATCGATCACGCCGCGCCAATCGCCCTTGCGGCAGCAAGCGCCCATCATCCCACTCCATGGTCGCTTGAAGGCTACTGGCATCCTGTCAAAGAGATCCCTGGCGCGATCGAGGGTCTCGTCCGCCCTAGCAAGCGCAGCAATCACAGTGCTCCATGAGGTGGAGCTCCTTGCCGGGATCGCGTGAAAGAACTCCAAGCATTTTGAAATATCCCCAGTTAGGGTAATTGCAGCGAGCATCGTGTTTGTAGCAATAGCATCGTGCTCGGGCATCAAAACAAATATCGCTTTCGCCCTATCCACGTACCCGTGCATGGCATAACACTTCATTAGTGATGTCCATGTCACCACACCCTTGTTGGGTATAAGCTGGAAGAAACTCTCTGTTTTCTGCAATTGCCCATATACGGCAATTGCTGATAGCATTGAATTCCAGAAAATTTCATCCTTGTCTGAAAAAGAAGGGCAACTAAATAGTGTTTTGGATTTCTCTATCTGTCCACTTGGCGCGTACAGTCCGATCATTGTCGTCAAGAGCGCCATATCAAGCCTCGGGATTTTTTCGAGCAAATACTCGGCTTGGATCAAATCCCCGTGGCGAGATAGCGCAGTTAGCATTGCGCTGGAAGAGATTAGATCCCAGCATGGCATATCGCAAAAGAAAATGTTCTTGGCCATGTCCATATTCCCGGCTTGCGAGTAGAGATTGATGATACACGTAAATGACACCAAGCTTCTCTCTTTCATCTCATCAAAGACTCTTTGTGCTTGATCGATCGATCCGTCTCCAGAATTTGTGGCAATCATCGTGTTCCAAGTGAGGAGATCTCGCTCGGGCATTCGATCAAACAGCTCTCTTGCATTGACAACGAGACCAGCTTCGCACAGACAGTGGAGTAGTGTGTTGTAGGAACTGAGCGTTCTCATGGGGATGAGATGGAAAATTTGTAGCGCTAGGTTGATATGATCTGGGCTAGAGCAAACTGCTCCCAGCACCGAATTCCAGCTGACCTGATCCCTCTCAGGCATCTCTTGAAATACCTTAAAGCAATCTTGAATACGCCCTTCATGAGCATATACTGATAGCATTACGTTCCAAGTGATCAAATCCCTGACTGGAATTCCATGAAATATAAAGATTGCATCAGAAACATTTCGGTTTTGAACGTAAGTTGTGAGAAGCGTGTTCCACGACACTAAAATTTTCTCTGGCATCTTATCAAACACTCGTTTTGCCTTGTCTACATCCCCAATGCAGGCATATGCTGCTAGTAATGAGTTCCAAGATACAGAATCCCACGCTGGCATTTTATCAAACAGCTGATTAGCTTTAACAGCTTCATCAGCACGACCATACGATGTGAGCATTGAGTTATAGATTGCAATGTCTTTTTGCGGTATTTTCTCAAAGAAAATTCTTGCTTGTTCAAGGTACCCTGATCGAGCATAAGCAGTAAGAACCATATTCCACAGCATCAAGCTGTGGTGTGGCATCTGATCGAACAAAGCTTTGGCCTCCTCCAGTTTCCTCTTGCTGGTCAACTCATGAAGCATCCTTTCGTTGATACTAGTTGACTCAAAAATTCTCATGGATTGGGAGAGCATGTAAGACATTGTTTTATTATAAGAATTATTAACAGAACTAGTCAATCGATTTCCTTAAGATGGAGCTGCTAGAGAAGCATGGCCTGACTTGCACATCTTCTTTGAGAGAAAAACCTTTCAGAATAAATAGCCATTGGGTTGTCAGCATAAATCACTTACACCTCGTCAAACTTTCCTTCTGGTCCATCATATTATCATCGAGCAGAGGGATTGTGCAAGAGTAGAAGTTACCAAAGTATGGTGGTCGTAGGAAGTGGTGATATTGATGGAAACTATTTGGCATGCTTGCAGCTGAAGAGATCACACTGCTGTGAGTCTGTTGTGCGGGGATGTGATAAGGTCTTGCCTGAGTGCTGAATGTCCCACTAGAAAGCTTCTGTAGTCGTGATGAATTGCTGTGAAGATCAAATCCATCACCTTCGTCAACATGACACCGTCGAAAGAAAAATATGGCCTCGCTGGTGGGAGCAACTGTGGTAGAGCAAGGCCTAGAGCTGGTCATAGCTGGAGGGGCATGTTGCTCCATGTCGAAGTAGAAAGAAACTGCTGATGCCTCACAAATGCCAGCTCGCAATGAAGAACAGGCGAAGGATGGATACGTTGCTTCCATTCGGCAGCTTTCTTCTGCCTGGTTGCAAGCTCTGTGAATGAGCATGCTCTGTGAAGTTACAAGATTTTCTTGATTTGTTTCATGAATTCTTTCGTCACTAGTGTGTACGTGTGCTCTGTTGGGTGAATTAAATCCCAGAAAACATAATCACTTGGGTTCCTGCACAGCCCGCTCAAGGTATTTTTGTGTGATAGGCAATTGGGGCAACAACCCCCTCCATTCTGGAATCCAAACTTAATTGGGTTCTCCACGTACGATTTGATCAGTGAATAGCCGTCAACAAATGCACCTCTCATCCCTGGGAATTTCTTTGCCACCCCCAAAACAATCGCCCGAGCTTGCCAATTGAATTGTTCTACTAAATCGTTGATCTCTCTCACACAATTTCCATCCGACGTGACAATAGGCACACAGCCTAACGGCCCAAGGCTAGAGTAGACAATCTTCCTGAATCCATATTTATAAAGTTGCTCCAAGCCTTTCTCCAATGACACTAGCATTGCTTCCAAGTCCACATTAGCAAGGTTTTGAAGATTTGCCGCAATGTCATTGCCACCCGAAGATATCACAACCACAAAGTCATTGAGATTCATCATGGGGATCTTGTTGGCTAGCTGTCCAAGTTGTTTTAGCTGCTCATTAAACGACACGACACCCCAGTCTGAGTGAGTAGAATCAAGCAGTCCACTACCGTCTGACGCAAAGTTGATGCTTAGTGGAAGTTGGCTCCCACCTTTCAAGCCCAAGAATGGTTTTGAAAAGGGCAAACCGATCACTTTGTTTATCAGATCTGGAATTAGAAACCCATCGCTACATCTTCCTGATGGCTGGTTATACCTTGTCTTCCCATACGGCACAAAATCACAACGAGAAACAGAGTTCTTCACGTACTTGTTAGTTCCAACATCAAAGATTGAGTCTCCCATGTAGATAGTCCGAAGTTGAGGAACCGACCTCCCATACACGCACGCGCAGAGAGCCAAGATCGCAAACACCAACACTAAAATCTTCGTCATCTCGCCAAAACCTTCACGAGAGAACCTAATACAGAAAGCCCGTTTATATAGTGAAACGAGAAAAAGGTGAACCCACCTTTACAGCTGCGCTTCATGCCTTTTTGGATTAGAAAGAGCCTTGAACAAGTTTTTGTCGCTCTTCTTCTTCTAGCTCGCCAGTAGATGCGATTCACAAGGATTTCTCCATGCCACTCGCATCATTGGCTAGAACAGGGAAATGGAGCTCTCCTTTGCGCAAAGGCGAAGGATTAAGCAAGCAAAGTCAACACTCGATAACCCATAAAAATAACTCTAACGTAAAAAGGCTATAGGGCTTAGGGCTGTGCTGTGGCGATGGAGGCAGTGATAGTCGAGCCGCCCCAGGATGCGACTTCACGTATCGTGTGCTTGCCAGAGCTAGGGAGAGTGCAGGAGCGAGTTGTGCTATGCAGCTTATCCGGACGTAAGAGATGTGCACCTCTATTCTGTACATCTCGAACTTCTCAAGTTACGCCGATCTCGACTCATGGATCACATTCGAGCATCTCTGGAGCTGTCAACATTCGGTACTCCACGAGCTCTGGAGCTCGCATTCACAAAGTAAGAGTGTGCATTGTACTTTTCAAAAAAATATCGGTGGTTCTTTTGCAGGATGAATGAAGAGCTGCGGGCTCTGGTAGGATCATCAGATTGCCGGGTATGTGGTAATCTCTCTTCTTGTCAGATG